AGAGAGAGAGAGAGAGAGAGAGAGAGAGAGAGAGAGAGAGAGAGAGAGAGAGAGAGAGAGAGAGAGAGAGTGAGAGAGCGACAAACACACAGAGTGATCGAATGATCACACATACTGTACATGAGACATTGTTACGTTACCAATTTGTTACCGTTTCTATAATTAAAAATTTTTATTTTGATACCTACTGTATAAATTCTCATATCCTAAAATTAGACTGTATTATTGTATATTAATGTATTATTATATAATATTTTGGAAATTATATTGTATAGTACCGACAATCCAAGCACATAAGTACTGATAGCATCCTCATGTACCTACTCGATATATTTGTACCTACCTACTGGAGCTGTTGACTAACGCTCAGGTAATTTTATTTTAGTCGGTGGCTGTACTTTATAAGCACCGGCTTTTTCCCAAGTAACATGTTGTACTTAGTACTTATCTAGCATTCACATAAATGTACTTTACCCAACGTAAGGCTTTTTATTATCATTATTTGTGATTTGATTCAGGTAATTGTTGACTACTCTTCCTTTGCTCTTTGTATGTCGTTCGCTTATCATCGACATCTTCTAGAAACTTCTACGTTAGACCGTTGTCCTTCAACACATCTGATTAACGAAACAATTGTGATTGCATTTGTGTGTATGTTACGCGATAACTCCGATATTTGTAAATCGATTTCGACGATTATTTTTTGTTGGAAAGGAGATTTTAGTAGCAGTAGAGCTTCTTGTGAAAGAAATCTCTTTAGGGAAGTACTGCCTTTTTACCTATTTCTGCCGCCAAGCACTAATGTGAGCATTATTGTGTTCCAGTTTTGAATGCTAATTACTGGCACAAAGGCTTGTCAACAGTCTCAGGGTGACAGGCGCAGTGACAGGGCCCCTCAGACCTTAACGATTGAAATCTCTGAGTGGCACTGTAACTGTTGTGGACTGGCGTATTGCTTACCACCCGGCGCACGACTTGTTCGGCTTTACACTTGGCATCACATAAAATACTTGATTCTAAAACGAGGAAATGCCACAACTAGACTGCTTCTGTAAGTGCACGTGCCTTTTTTATACGGGTTTTCGATAACAGGACTCACGCCATGTCTTGGGGTTGTCATAGAAAGCGAGTAAATAATAAAATGTTCGTAGGTAAGTTGTAATGTCTCCTTGTTTATTAAGTAGTAACTTCACGACGGCGTTCGCCAACTTGGTGTTATAAAAAGTAGAAAAAATACTGTTTATTCTTAAATAGGAGAGTTATAGAATACCACATAGACGTATAGCTTACCATCAAGTGCATGACTTGTTCGCCTCGTCACGTCATATTATAATCATAAAAAAGTAGCTTATTAGTGATACCATTCAATTTTGAAGAAAATGTGCCACCTCTAAGGATGGCAAATTAGGTGATAAATCTTGCTTATTAATTCCGTTTTCCGTTTCAATAAAACTTGACGAATAGATGTTTTTTTTTTTAATTTTTACAAACAGATGTTTTATTTATTCCCGTCTCATTATTTGTTTTGCCGATCGAACAAACCTTTCTACAGCTGACTGGAAACTCGAGTTAGATCACAAAAATAGTTTAATTTTCTATGTGTAACAATAGCGAAAACCTGAGAACTATACCTATTCAATGAATGTTTTTTCTACTTCAAATGTATCCTCAGACGTGTGACCAGAATGTATTGATACGTATGAGATATTTTATATGATAATATCCCATTTCCTTGAGATACGCGGCGTAGTAACTGAATTCGTTGCTGTTTAGTCTCGGGAAAAAAAACGTAGCGATTATAATAAGACATAATAAGGATTTATGTCTCAAACACACAATACAAATCGCACATGAAGTTAAATACTGTCGTCACTCAAAACTGGTGATATTGAGACATGATTTCAAAATTAAAAAAAGTAAATGAAATTGGGAATAATTATTTTTATTTATACATAATATTTCGTTATCCTCTCATAAACGAGAATATAAATTTATTGGTTCCATTCAGCAATTTTTGAACTTTCAAATAGAGTTTTTTCAAATTCCACCATTTTTAAGTCACTTAGTATTTGGTTCCAGTTGCGAAATCTTACATTGAAAAGACTCAAACAAAAATAAGTACAATTGCAAAAGACTGAAGTCCATACTGCCAAACTAGATCTTGTAGTACAATTCACTTGGCTCTGAATTATTAGTGTCGAATGATTCAGTTTTAACAGTGAATAAAATAAAGTAAAGAAACTTTTTAGGGTGGAGTGTATGTGTGTGAGACATATGACACAATGCATATTTCAATGTAGTAGTGAACATTTTGTAATGGAGGTTTGATGTTATTTTGTTGCAACGACAAAAACTCTTTAGGTGCCATCAATTTTTTTTAAAGCGAAGGATGACTATTTTATTCCAATGCTACAAATTTGAATGTTCCGTTCAAGACATTTAACAAATAAAAACAAAATAATATAAAAAACAAATATAGTTATTGACATGATGAGCACATACAAACGTATCGCATAAGATGTCTTAAATCAAATTACTACGAACCTATCATGTTAAGTAAACACTGTACTCGGATAACTGTATTCCATTACTTAGAGCCATGAAGATAAATTAGTTTGTTTTTGTTTGGCTTCTTTCGATTTTTTATGGCTCGAGTAATAATACATTAGGAAAATTACGATAAATACAACTATTGTTACTAACTACTACTTTTCGTAAAGTCTCGATAGTTTTCGATGTGAAACCGCCTATAGGTACGTAACACGTACAAAAAACCTGTTATTAAAACGAAAAAGTTATTATTACATTTTATTTTTAACAACCAGGAAACTTGAAAATAAAGTGGCGAGACAGCAACTTTAGGTTTAAAAAAAATGAGAATTTAAAATTTGATAACCAATTGAAATTGTTTACCCCAACTTAGATACAGGTGTAATTATTCCAATTAAAGTATTACTTACCGAATAAAAAACTCGCCGACGAAATTCCCACTGCTTCACAAAACTTTTATTGCCAGTATTAAAAAAAAACACGAAGATTTCTAACTTCGAAGCAGAATCGAAATTCGAATAATGCACAAATTAAAAACCTTTTGTTCAAAACAATAATTCAAAATCGCTAAGGTGTAGAATGCACCGTAACAACAACTTTTTAAATGATCGAGAATGCGCGGGTTGAGTGAAGATAGGCCACAGTCGTGCGATCGCTTCTGTGTTCTAAACCAGACTGGTTACGTTAGCAACCAATGATACTCTTCGGCAAATCTGTTTTTCAATTTTACGCTGCTCTTTATATTTGACATTAAAAATATGTGATATACGGTGACATATTATCTTTTAACATTTTATACAGTATGAATTCACAAAATTCGGGTTATCGCTACACTTTTATTAGAATGAGATGACCCATTGAACACATATGCCACCGAATATTGAAAGCATTAAAACTTTTCACATATTTTAAAGTGTTACGTTAAAATAATGTTGAGGAAAAATATTTCCAATACTTAACAGAAAAATATGTATTTTTACATTTTGAAGTGTTACATAGAATCATGTTTATAGTCCGTCTGTTTTGAAGATGGAGTAAAATGACAGTTCTTTGCGCAAAAGTGTTGTCAGCTTGTACGTAGCTAGTGATTGCAGTCGATAAAATATATGAAATAAATAGGCGCACTAGTTTTATTTGAATCATCACCAGCCGGGCATCGGTAACTGCTGGGTACAACTTCATTTGAATTGTCAATTTTTGTTACATCATACATACACTACATTTAAAACGATGTCTGTTACGCAAAGAGGAGACATATTTTAAGATTTTTCATTTTAATTCAATATAATAATAATAGTAATAATATTATTATTATTAATAATAATAATGCAGTAATAGCTACAGCTACAGTTACGGATACAGCTACAGCTACAGCCACAGCCACAGCCACAGCCACAGCCACAGCCACAGCCACAGC